GGGGGCAGACAGTCAGGGGCCATCTAAGGGGAGCAGACAGTCAGGGGGTCCAAAGCTGTACACTCAAGCTAAGGGGCAGGAAGGAAGGAGCTAGACATGGTGGCTCTGGGAGAGAGGGGATCAGCAGTTGAAGGCTAGCCTGAGCTACCAAGTACGTTTGGAGCCAGCCTTGAGCTCAGGTTTCTGAAGATCCGTCAGCCCATCAGGCAGAAGAGCATTTTGGGTTTTGTTTCTTGATCGCTTGTTTGTCGTTGTGAGGTGATGTGTCCTGTGCCCCAGGCTGGCCTGTGGCTCCTATGTAGAGTTTGAGTTTCCTGCCTCTGTCTGTGGGGAAGCGTGTCACCAGGTCTGTCCTGTGCGGTGCTGGGAAGGGCACGCAGCGCTTCTTCATGCTGGGCAAACACTTCACCGAGCCACAGCCTCAGACCAAGGAAGGCGTTCAGTGGGGATACTCCCCGAAGGAGGAGAGCAGCCAGCCCTTTCCTGTGGGAGGCCGTCTTCCTCCTTCCCTGCTCTCTCTCAGTGTAGCCCAGGCTGGTCCTGACGTCATGGTCCTCATGCCCACCCTCCTGCGATCTGGGGAGGCGTGTGCGCCACCCTGCGCAGTTAGAAGAAGGCGCTTTAGAGTTGATGTCGTGCCTCGGAGGCTAAACCCTCCCCTGGAGGCCCCGGCGCTGGATGGGACCTCATCTCGAGGCTGTCCGCCCTCCGCCGAGTCCCGTGCTGGGAGGACACATGCCGCGTGGCCGGGCTGTCGGCGCGCTCCTCTGTGACCTTCCTTCCGTGACTTCCCCTCAGGCCACGCTGGAGAAGTGTTCCGCGTGCTCTGAGCCCATCCTGGACCGAATCCTGAGGGCTATGGGGAAGGCCTACCACCCGGGGTGCTTCACCTGCGTCGAGTGTCGCCGGAGCCTTGACGGCGTCCCTTTCACGGTGGACGCCACCAGCCAGATCCACTGCATTGAAGACTTCCACAGGTCGCCTTGGCTCTGCCATCCTGTTTCCAGCTTCTGGTCCTCTCTTTCCTCTGATATCGCTCTTCCCCAGGTCGCAATCCCTCCCATTTCCCTCCCTCTCCTCGGGACCCCTGTGAGCCTCTGCGGGCAGGCTGGGACCTGACGGCCCCTCCGGTGCCCTTCCCCCTCAGGAAGTTTGCCCCACGATGCTCGGTGTGCGGAGGGGCCATCATGCCGGAACCGGGGCAGGAGGAGACGGTGAGAATCGTTGCCCTGGATCGAAGCTTCCACGTTGGCTGTTACAAGTGTGAGGTGAGGGGGTCCCCCAGCAAGAGCGTGAGCTGGCGGCCTGGGAGCGGGCGGGGCCACAGAGCTCCGGCTGACACGGCTCCTCCTCACAGGAGTGCGGGCTGCTGCTGTCCTCCGAGGGCGAGTGCCAAGGCTGCTACCCGCTGGACGGGCACATCCTGTGCAGAGCTTGCAGTGCCTGGCGCATCCAGGAGCTGTCGGCGACCGTCACCACCGACTGCTGACTCCTGGAAATCCTCACCTCCCCCACAGCCACCTTTGCTGTTCATCCACAAATGCTTCTTCTTTCCCTGTTCATGAAATAATAATGTCTGAAGGGCTCTAAAGCACTTGAAAGTCTCTGCTGTTTCGTTGGAGTCTCCTAGGATGAGGCCATGTAAACCTCGAACCCCAGCACTCTGGAGCAGAGGCAGGGGGATCTCTGAGTTTGAGGCCAGCCTGGTCTACAGAGTGAGTCCCAGGCCAGTGAGGGCTACATAGTAAGATCCTGCCTAAATATGTGTTATTATTTAATATATTAATATAGCTTATTAATACATACATAGTCTTTTGTTAACTCTTATCCTATACTTTTGTTGTTGTTACATAAATTAACCCATTCACTGAAGGCTAGGGGTATCTGAAAAGGTTGCATTTCTCCTGGTCTTTCAACTCCTTCAGTCTTCTCACCTCAGACTTGACCGACAGCAGAAGTGGTGCCGCAGGCCAGGCCCACAGCCGCTGTCCCCACTCGGGACACGGTGTCACCTACCAGGGGCCTGTTTGTTCATTTTTCTCTTGCCCCAGGAGGAGCAGATGGACTTGCAATGTTCACTGATTTCAATTTTCTCTGCCATTTTCTGGAGGGAGGTGTCATGGCAGAGCCTGAGCTAATTATGCTGGCCTTCTTGGTGCATTTAGCCAAAATGCTGTGACCCATGCTGAAACCAGAAGTGGTCCTCCTGTAAGGACTGACTTCTAAAGTATTTCGGGCCACCCCTGAACTTGATACATGGCTGAGGGAGAGGAGGCTCTTCTTTTTTTTTTTTAAATTCTTTATTAATTACACTTTATTCACTCTGTATCCCCCTTGTGGTTCCCTCCCTCCTCCCGTCCCAATCCCTCCCTCCCTCCACCGTGGAGGCTCTTCTTGAACTTTAGATTTAGATTCTCAATTTAGATTTAGATTCTGGGACTGCAGAAGGTGCCACTGAACCTGGCTACTTTCTTGTGGGCATGGGGGCTGCTGGGCCAGGGATTCACGCCACGCAGGCGCTACTGCTGACCCCAGGTCCTGTCATAGGGTAGGAGAGCACTCTGTCCCTGAGCTATGTCACCACTGTTTCCTCCTCCTCCTCTGTCTCCTCCTCTTGCATTATTTTTCAAGAAAGGGTTTCTCTTCCACCTAGCTGTTTCCCTTTTCTTAAATTATGTATGAACCAGCAGCAATGGCCCATACCTTTATTCCCAGCACTCTGGAGGCAGAGGCAGGCCGATCTCTGAGTTCAAGGCCAGCCTGGTCTACTGAGGAAGTTCCAGGACAGCCAGGGCTGCACAGGGAAGCCCTGTCCTAGAATATGAATGTGTGTGTGTGTGTGTCAGTGTGTGGTTGTGTGAAAACTTGAGCGCAGTGTCCCTGTGGTCCAGAAGAGGTCGTGAGATCTCCAGGAACCGACCGCCTGTGAGCTGCCCAACAGGCAGCTGCTGAGACTTTAACTCTGGCTCTCTGTAAGAGCACAATCACTGAACCATCTTTCTAGACCCCTTTGGAAATGTTTTTGAGACAGAGTTTCACCAGATTGCCTTGGCCGGCTTTGTGTTATTTCTTCAGCTCCCGAACGTGTGATTTTCCTGCTCCAACTCCCTGAGTAGCTGGGATTACAGGCCTGGGCCAACAGGACTGCACGAGGCTTTTGCGTGCCCTGATTGTAAATACACCTCTTCGCGTGCTGGCGCCCCGACCCCGGCAAGGCCGGGCGTGCGCCGTTCCTCAGCGGAACGTTCTAGTCACTGAGAAGGGCTTAGTGTCCCTCGGGAGTGATGAACTTACACTTAAAAGTACCGCGTGTCAAGGCTGAGGTTTTCACGTTTGCAAGAGGAGTAGGCGCCCCTGTCCAAAAAAGGCCGGGTGCCGCGTTTTACAGATACCCGTACCGATTTCTGGGGTGAAAGGCGGGGGGGGGGAGGCGCCTTTAAAACGGTTGCTTCTGTGCATTGCTCCCGGACCTCCGCCGCGCCCCGTGCGGAGGGCGCAACCTCGCCTGAGGAGGCCGAGGGCGCCTCGGCCCGGGGGTCTCGCCGAGCCACGTCCGGACGCCAGCCAGGCCCGGCCGGGAGGCGGTCGGGGGAGCGAAGCGCCCGGGACGCCCGGCGTGGCCGCGCTCGGCCTCCGTAGCGCCGGGCGCCGGCGCCGCGCGGTCGCGAAGTCGCGCGAGAGCTCCGCGCCCCACCCTCTTCCCGGCATCCCCTCGGGCGCCCTTCGTTCCCGCTCGGCCGGGGGTCTCGGCTGCGCTGGGAGGCCGCTCCGGGGTGGCGCCGGCCGCGCGCTCGGCCCCTCGCGGCCCCGTGTCCGCCCTCCGTCGGCCCCGG